CTGTTCATTTTTGTTTCTACACGTTTTTTTTCTCACAAAGATTTTCAAGAAAGAGTGTTTGTCGTGTTCATGTCAAATTAAACTGATCACAAAACACAGATTTACTTTCTTTATCTCGTTTTCCTCATCCAACCCCCATAAATCCCTGTGTGTCCTCCTGCAGCTTTCCTGATGGACAACAGGCAAAACAAGACAAAAAAGTCTAACGTGTTGAGTAAAAACTGCTATTTTTAGCATATTTTTAGGGCCGACGTGTTGCTACCAGACGTACAGTGTGAGCAGTCAGGTTGCATGTGAGAACTGGGTTGTGCAGTGTGAGCACATGACTCGTGAGATCTGCTCTGCGAGGAAATCGTACAGTTGGAGCTGAAGCTGAACGCTGCGAGTGAAAAAGTCGCACAGTGTACGCCCGGCTTAAGTCAGCAGTAGGGATGCACTGTCCACACAAAGCGCAAGAACCAAAAAAAGAACAAACATGTACAGAGGAGAGTGTCCATGAGACAGACAGCGTGCCACACACACGGGCGCCATCTTGTCCAATAAACTGTCTTGTTCTTTTTTTTTTACATAGAAGAACTTGTTTTATGCATTGTGTATAAATAAACTCAAGTTTGGAGGAAGACATTGTCTCAGCCCATTGTTTGATCTAGCGTGATCACTCTCCGTACCTAAAATAATAACAGTCGTGGGGCTCTAGGTTCACACTTGTACCAAATTAATATGTAGTCAATTCACCTTCTTTCAGTGAATTTCTACTTTGCTCTTGATGGTTGCACGTGTGAACCATGTGCACGAACACATTCAGGGCAAACACACACATGCAGTTAATTGTATTAAATTGTGTGCATTAATCTTATAGTACAAGCAGTAGAGTTGTTATCATCTGTAACATGTTTTAATGGTTGGCTGGTTTGATTAATATGTGTAATAGGCTGGCCGATCAACTGGTTGAGACGCCAATCAGTCCTGCTACATCTACATACAAACAGAATATATAGAATATTTACTAAGAAATCACAATATAACTGTGTGTGTGTGTGTGTGTGTGTGCGTCTGCTCTGTCTTCTCGATCCCCAGTGAGTCGTGGAGGATGGCTGCTTATATTGAGCCAGGATTCTCTGGAGGTTTCTTCCTGTTAAAAGGGAGTTTTCCTCTCCACTGTCGCTTTATGCTTGCTTAGTATGAGGATTGCTGTAAAGTCACTGACACTAGTCAGTGACTTGATGCAATTTGCTGGGTTCCTTATAGGAAACATTATTTCTGATTGGCTTAATGAACTGACCTGAATTTGAATGTTTATTATGTGAAGTGCCTTGAGACAACTCTTGTCGTGATTTGGCGCTATATAAATAAAATTGAATTGAACTGTTGCAAGTTCCCACATGCCAAAGACAGTGGCAAGAAACGGAGTCAACAGGTGGGCCACAGAGATAAGATTGGACCCACACTGAAACACACTGAACTTGCTTATGCGAGTAAAATCAGCCAGAAGACAGGGGCCCAACTGCACAACAAGCATCCAAGCTGGGATAAAAGAAGATCAACTGAAGATAAAGCATCTCAGAAGTGGACAAACCCTTCATGAAGAATCCAAGGGATCAGAATTTGCTTCTGGGAGTAAAATTGGGCAAAAGGCCAAGAAGTGTCTGACTCAACCATCAGCAGGAGAAGTGGGACTGAAGGAGACAGAGTGAAAAGAGCTCATCAGGAGAAGGCCTTCATGGAGAATGCTGGACTTCAGGAAGAAACTGAAGATCTGCTGCAAAGATGACACATAATGGCCTGTGTTCGGCTGAAAAGCCGTCCTGAAGAATGTGTTGCACTAAAAAAGTGTGTATCTGGCAGATGACCCCATGACCTTACTGTCATGGGATAATGATATATGTGTAACTAGTGAACTTTTTACCTTGTCTAGGCAGTCCCAAGAAGAGTATAAAAAGAGCAGCTAGAAGTAGAGCTGACACAACAGTTGGGGCAGTCGACAGTGAGAGACAGAGCAGATTTGGGATAGAAGAGGTCATCCTCGGGTCAGGAAGATTTTAGCATTAGCATCCTCCACAGGGGATAGGTTATTTTTATATTTACTCATTTTTTTGTATTTAGCAATTTTTGAGCAGTTGTTAGTGTGCGCGTGTTAGAGGGTATTAAGCTGAAGAAGACTTAAGAGTTGGTGTAAGTCAACTCATTATTCTTAGTTAATTATTAGGATTAATGCTACCTTGGGGGTAGTGATCAGTCTTATATCTACCCATGTTTTGTATTTTTTAATCTTGTAATAAACTTTTTGAAAAAGAATCCACATCCCTGATTCTTCCAGGTCCTTTTTAAAGGTTAAGGTTGGGGCCCCGACCTGAACAATAAGGAGAGGTAAGCACATTAATTACAGGTTCCTGAATTATCAGGATTTGCTTTACGGTTTGTGACAGATTAATAAAAAGAAACCTTAAGTAAAGAAGCTTGTCTTCTCCTCTCCCGTGAGTAACGAGATGTCTTAAGGATGATAAGCCAAAACATTAATAGGTTAAATTAGGCTCTGTTTGCAAGTGTGAAAAAGTCTCCGCCAGCGTGGGTAGGTTGGATTAATTAGATAAATTGATAAATCTGTTAGCCTGATCAACTAACAAGAATCATTTTCTAGTTACCACCGCCCACAAAAGCTGACAGAGGCGCAAATTAATCCTAATAACCCAAAGAATTGTCAGCGACGGATGGCCACCCGCTGAACTTTGCCCTAGTATCTAAAACCACTAGATAACAGGAGTATCTAAAAGGAAGTGTGCTATCACAGAAGAACAAGTATGGCATATCATTTCTCCTTAAAATAGGAAACTGATTCTAATTGAGGGAGTCCAAACCAGGGTCTAATACAATAAAACTCACCAACGCCCCACGAACCCTGAGAAAGCAACGCAGTCTTATTAAGTTCTAACGGAACCAGGTTTTAAAGGAACCGACAAATAGGACACGCTCGCGACAAAACAGTCCAAAGAACTGTGTGTGAGCGTAGCCTCTGTGTGGCCCTCCACATACGGCCCCTTGAACGCCCAGATGGTCTGTTACACATACGTTTCTGGTTCTGATCAAGCGGCCAAGCAGTCAACAATATTTACATACAAACAGTCCCAAGTCAATATATACGTCTGTGGCACCAAGAACTGGGTGTGAGTGTAGCCTCTTTGTGGTCCCCACATGATGAACACCGGCTTTAAAAACTCTGGACATCTCCTGTGATTTAGATTCATCATATATTTCCCCCAGTTTCAGCTGAGTGTCTCATTTAGTAACAAAACATGATTGTGAACTCTCTCTCAAGTCAAGTTTATTATATAGCCCATTTCATACACAAAATGGTAGCCCAATGTGCTTCACATAGTTAAAACAATCACAAGTGAAATAAAATAGTTAAAATGTCACATCATGTTGTGTAAAATAAAATCAAAGAATATTGACACAGAACAAAGCATACAAAAATAAAAGCATATTAAGTACAATTATTGGTAGCACTTTCTTTTACAGTCCTCTAATTACTTAGTACTTACATGGTAATTACTTAGTAAGTTAGTGTATTGTTGTTACTGAGTTCTTAAACTGTTATTACCATGTAACTCAGGTTCAATTCTAGTTTTATTTTTATTAGTCATTCCTAGTATATACTGCTTTACACAATAACTACACTTTATTACAAGTATTCGCTTTAATTACCCAATAATACACAATAAAACAGCACAGAATAGGTATACATATAAAATACATATAGAATAAATTTAACACAGTACAGATAAAGACCTAGTAGAGCACAGATGCAAGGACAGGTTAATAGAAGACATCATGAAAAAGTTTAGTATTTAATCTGGATTTAAAAATGGAAATGGTGGGAGAGGTCTAAGGCCTAGTCCACACGTAGCCGGGTTTTTTTTAAAACGAATATCCACCCCTCCAAAAACTTGCATCCACACCACCGCGTTTTAAAAAACAAACTCTGTCCACACGTACCCGGATAAATATGTTGTTAAGGACATGCCAGACCTGTAGGCGGCAGTACTTCCCCCGTTCTTAACCTCGTCCTTCGTCTGTGGTCTTCCGCAAGGAGCAGTCCGCTTGCAAAAACAAACAAGCAAAAAGCGCTTGGACAATTGATGGATCGGGTTGTGACAGAGCGCAGCTCTGAGGGCATCCATGATGCCGGCTAGTGTAAACACAGGTCGCACACGTGATGTCAGCATTTTTTGTCGCGGAAAGTGACGTTGCGGACCTTAAAACTCCGGTTTTGTCCGTCCACACGCAGACACCCAAAATGGAGAAAACGCAGATCTTCACTTTGGCCGGAGTTTTTAAAAAGATCCGTTTTCGTGTGAAAAAACTCCGTTTTCGTGTGGATGACAGGCCAAAACGTAGAAAAATATCTACGTTTTGGCAGATCCCCGGCTACGTGTGGACAGGGCCTTAATGTCTATTGGAAGACAGTTCCAGAGATGGACTGCATAGCAGCTAAAGGCAGCCTCTCTGTGCTTGGTGCGGGCTCTGGGTTGTACCAGTTGGGATTTATCTGCTGACCTAAGTGATTTTGAAGGGTGATGTGTTTCAAACATCTCTGCTATATACAGAGGTCGTTGGCCATTTAATGATTTAAAAGTAAGTAAAAGGTCTTTTAAATCAATCCTGTAACTTACTGAAAGCCAATGTAAATATTTTAAGATTGGTGTGATGTGATCATTTCTTTTGGTTCTGGTCTCTTGCTCCCTGTCTCTCTGCTCTGTGTAACGCACAGCCTTCAGACCTGCAGAGAAAAAAACCTACTAGATGCAGAAAAAAAGGATAAACCTCCAACCTTCATATTGTCAGCAAAAAACACAGCAAAACTTAACTTTCATGACCAAAAAAACCCATCAAAATTATTCAGTAAATATGGAGAGCAGGAACAAGTCTTATTTCTGATTTAACATTCTTTACTTCAATTCAAAGTATTTAGACTTGTGCGTTTTCATCACATTTAGCTTGTATTTTATATAAAATATCATCAGCTTTACAGGTTAGGTGTTCCTGTGTGCTTAAAAATTTATGTTACTAAGCTTCTAAAAAATATCAAATCATTCACATGAAGTAGATTTGTTATTCATTATCTGAAAGTATCTGATTAGTTTAATAAACTAAATATGTTTTGTTCAATTTGGTTTTCAGAATGTCACTAGTTTACTTATACTTTTAAAAAATATATATACTGATGTACTGAAATACAGAGAAATCAACTTGTGAGTACAATGCATGTTAATATAGGAAGTATAGCATTAGTTTAACATAAGCACATTCACACATGGAAAGTATCAATGTAAATAAATCATATGGCAGTAAATCTGCTGTACTTTCATTGTGTAAAAGTAGCTCACGGGCCAGTAAAATTTGGAGACACCTTCAATAGATCGTTCAGCCCTAGAGGATGCTTAGATGATTGTTTAAAGTTTTCTTTCGGCTAAATCTTCGTCCACAGAGCTCAAAAGCAAAATGTTTCTGTCTTTTATGGACTCTTTTGTGACCGCTTAAATTGATTTTTTGGGAAAATCTTTTCCACCACACTCACAGGAGAAAAGCCAGTGTGAACTCTCATGTGAATGTTTAAATTTGTCTTTCGGCTAAATCTCGTTCCACAGAGCTCACAGGCGAAAGGCTTCTTTCCTTTGTGGACTCTCATGTGTGTGTTTAAAGTTGACTTTTGGCTAAATCTCGTTCCACAAAGCTCACTGGCAAAAGTCTTCTCTCCTGTGAGGACTTTCATGTGAATGTTTAAATGTGACTTTTGGCTAAATCTTTGTCCACAGAGCTCACAGGCGGAAGGCTTCAGTCCTTGTGGACTCTCAAGTGTCTGTTTAAATGATGTTTATGGCTAAATCTTTGTCCACAGAGCTCACAGGCAAAAGGCTTCTCTCCTGTGTGGACTCTCATGTGTGTGTTTAAATTTGTCTTTTGGCTAAATCTCATTCCACAGAGTTTACAAGCAAAAGGCTTCTGTCCTGTGTGGACTTTCATGTGAATATTTAAATGTGACTTTCGGCTAAATCTTTGTCCACAGAGCTCACAGGCGAAAGGCTTCTGTCCTGTGTGGACTCTCATGTGTGAGTTTAAATTATGTTTATGGCTAAATCTTTGTCCACATAGCTCACAGGCAAAAGGCTTATCTCCTGTGTGGACTCTCATGTGTGTGTTTAAAGTTGTCTTTTGGCTAAATCTCGTTCCACAGAGCTCACAAGCAAAAGGCTTCTCTCCTGTGTGGACTTTCATGTGAATGTTTAAATGTGACTTTCGGCTAAATCTTTGTCCACAGAGCTCACAGGCGAAAGGCTTCTGTCCTGTGTGGACACTCATGTGTTTGTTTAAATTTCCCTTTACACTAAATCTATTCCCACAGAGCTCACAAGCAAAAGGCTTCTCTCCTGTGTGGACTCTCATGTGTGTGTTTAAACTATGTTTATGGCTAAATCTTTGTCCACAGAGCTCACAGGCGAAAGGCTTCTGTCCGATGTGGACACTCATGTGTTTGTTTAAATTTCCCTTTTCACTAAATCTATTCCCACACAGCTCGCAAGCAAAAGGCTTTTCTCCTCTGTGGACTCTCATGTGTGTGTTTAAAAGACCTTTATGGCTAAATGTTTGTCCACAGAGCTCACAGGCAAAAGGTTTCTCTCCTGTATGGACTCTCATGTGTGTGTTTAAATGCTGTTTATGGCTAAATCTTTGTCCACAGAGCTCACAGGCAAAAGGCTTTTGTCCTGTGTGGACACTCGTGTGTTTGTTTAAATGTCCTTTTTGACTAAATCTATTCCCACAGAGCTCACAGGCAAAAGGTTTCTCTCCTGTGTGGACTCTCATGTGACAGTTTAAACTATTTTTATGGCTAAATCTTTGTCCACAAAGGTCACACGCAAAAGGCTTCTCCCCGGTGTGGCCTTTCATATGACGGGTTAAACTGGACTTTAGGTTAAATATTTTCCCACAGTCATCACAACTAAATGATTTAGGTTGTTTCTGGACTTTTCTGCATGAGCCTCCATGTTGCTTCTCTTTCACACATTTTGTATTAACCAAACACTCTGAAGACTTTACTGCTGAGTGACTTGCCACTTTCACATGTTTCTGAAGAGACCACTTGTGGAGGAACCGTATACCACACACAGGGCAGCTAAATGATTTATTGACGGTCTTAATATCTGACTCTGAAGACTTGTTCTCATTACAGCCATGGTCTCCTTTTCCAGTTTCAGGCCCAGAGTCTGAACGCTCAGAGTCTAGATTCACATCATCTTCATCTTCTCCACTAACTTCAATCTCTGAAGAATCAGATGTATTTTCATTAGGGTCCAGATCTAGGTTCTTGCTAGTTTCTGCTCCTCCACCAACTTTTGCTGTCATCTGCCCAGCCAAGCTGCTGGTTTGGACACCTCCGTCTTTCATTGGATGGTTGTGGAAATGTAAGAGCAGAGGTTTCTCATCCGTCTCCTCTCTCTTCCTTGAATCTGCAGGAAACCAAGCAGAAATATATGTAGCGTTATTAAGATCCTATTGTCTGCCCTTAAAAGCTGCCCCTTCACACAGTAACAACGTGTAGGAATCGCCAAGGTCGGATGCTGGTTTCAGTATGTTTACATTCCAGGAGAAGAGACAGAAGAAGAGAAGAACGCTTTCCATTAATTAATCAAAGTACTTTATTTGTGATAAGCTAATCAAAATATATGTTTATCAATATTAATCAGGTGACTGATCTGTGAAATAAAGATGTCATGATTTATGTGTTTAATGAATAAACAGGACTCTGCACCAGACAGACTGATCAACATAACATGGAAACGCATGACACATTGTTCTCAACCAATCAGAACTTTCGTCTGTCATAGGGCAGAATCTGGGTTGTTTAATGAAGTTGTCCAATCCGGTTTACTAAGATTTGTAAACAACTAGGGGATATAAAACAAGGCAATGCCATTTTATACTCAGTTCCATTTTAACCTCAGCTCTGTTCGATCTGAGTTCCAAAGGAGTTACATCATACTCTCAACGTAGTTTTCAACCAGCTCTCGATCCATCACCGCAAAAGAGAGGTGCAGCCTGGCCAGATGCACTTTCTAGTTTAAGCTGAGAACTGTCAAGCTGGAGATTTCCGTCGTTTGAACAACAAGACGACGTCCCTTCAAAATAAGAGCTGAACTCGCTGACGCCTGCCGCTGCTACCGGAGTCGACCCGCAGACGGGCTTTGTAGTGCTGCGACCGCTGTTTCACCAGCTCCAGCACATCTGAAGGTCCGAGGCCCTGGCATTTCCTGATCTAACACGGGAGGCTCCAGACGGTACGTGGTTACGGCAAAATTGCTGCTCATGTCATCAGCTTCGGAAGCCTCGTGGTTCCTAGTCATAACAACCAGATCCGCTACGTCAGCCTAGAGATTGTGAAACACACACACACACCAACACGAAACATCCAAATCCATATGCATCCATCATTGAGATAGTCCTGGTAGATTGTAAGAATGTATAATTATAGAAATTAAAGATTCTTAAACGATCCCAACTCTCTCTTTTCTTGTCTCTCAGTCAATACAGAGTGTTTAAGTAAACTCCCTGATGATAAAAACAACCACTTCTGATTATAATATTTAGATCTAATTACAGTGTATAAATATACAAACTACAGATCACTACATATATAAAATGAAAATATTCAGTAAAAGAAAAGACAAAATACCTAGGGGTGTTTTTGCAATCAGTAGTATACATAACCAATGTTGGTAAACACATTACTACTTATGGTAATGCATTACTTTTACAAATAACTATGAATCTAATGAGTTGCTTTTAAGCCCAGACATCACTATGCAATTGGTAGAAGGAAAAAAAACATGATCTGCAAATTCTTATTAACGCCTCTCAAGAGCAGGTCAAACCAGCCGTCTGTCGTTGCTGTGGAGCCTAGAGATACTGTTATGGAAAAATTTATGTTTATTAATTCTTGATCATGGACTCAATCAACTGAATGTAATATGTATTGCTCTATGCCTCTCTGCATGCCTACTAGTTCAGAACTCATTCAGACAAACACACACCCACACACACACACACACACATACACACACACACACACACACACACACACACACACACACACACACACACACACACACACACACACACACACACACACAATCTTTCTCTCTCCGCCTCTCTCTATAGGGCCTTACATGGACAAGCACCATCTTACATTGGTGATCTTCTTAGGCCCTACACCCCCAGCAGGTCCCTGAGGTCCAGTGATCACAGGCTACTGGTTGTGCAACGCACCAGGCTAAAGACCAAAGGTGACAGATCATTTGCTGCTGTGGCCCCCAGACTCTGGAACTCTCTTCCCCTGGGCCTGAGATAAGTGGACTCAGTGGTCTCCCTCAAAAAGCAGCTGAAGACTCACTTGTTCAAGCTGGCTTTTGTATGACCTTCTTCAACACTCTCTCTTTATTCTGCTCTCCCCACCTATTCCGCCTTCCTCAAGATCCACTGATTTCCCTCTTTCCTAGTCACTCTCTCACTTTCTTAACATTTTTTTAATCACAATTGTGTCATGATTTTTGCTCATTTTAAATATATTTTTAAACATTTTCTAAATGCTTTTTTACATTTTTTGTTTTTGTGAAGTGCCTCGTGATTTTTATCTTGAGAGGCGCTATAGAAATGATATTTTCTTCTTCTTCTGAAAATTAACTCTGTGACCGGATGTTCGATGTGTTTTGCCTCATGCATTGTGCCACAGTTATAACTGTTTGACTTCTTGATCAGTGTCTCCTTCTCTATCCGACTACAGGAAATGGGTTATTGATAAACATAAAATCCATGACAGATACCCTGACAGCAGCATCGCATCGGCCCCTCCCTGGCCCATCCCTTTCTTTCCCTAACACTGAAGGTGCGCGCAGTGGCAAAAATCTAAACAAACATATCTGCAGAACCTTTACTCTGTGTGAGTGCTGTAAAAATTGTATCCTACAACGAAATCATGGCGTGGAGTAAGCTCGTTAAAATGCGTCAAAACAGTACATGTAATACGTGTTTTAAGAAGAAACTGTGGGTGGAGTGAGGTGAGATTGTAAGGCTCACTGCAGAAATAAAAACACAGAGCATCAACACTCATCTGTAACCCATAAAATAATAATGAGCATCATGCTGCTAGATCAGCAGCTTGTGATGACAGTTAGTTATGCTCACTAGGTCAAGATGGGACATATGGCACTAGAATTCCAGAGAAAGAGCTAGGAGCAAGGCCATTTAAACATTTGTAGACCAGAACCAAAATCTTAAATTGAACACAGAACTGAACTGGGATCCAATGCAGAGAGGCAACAACTGGAGTGATATGATTTTATAAAAGGTTCAGAATTTCTTATATTACCTCTGTTTGTTAAAATGTGTTGGTTTTATTTTGGTGGGAATTCAGGAAGTGACATGCTTTTATTTTGAAGTGCCTTTCACAGTGAGCTCACTTCCAGCGCTAGAATTTTCCCTTTTTTCTTTCCCTTTTTTTTACCTGCGTGCATGTGAGACGAGTGTTTCTTCATTCTCCTGCAAGTCATGTTGATGTTGACAGTATTATGTTAATGCAAGAAAACTGATGTCAATGCTGTTAACCATGATCATCAACCAAGATTAAAGATTTGGAACTACAGCAAAGGATGCATCTAGCCTCTTCCTGTATTCGAACAGATACACCATATTGATAGCCACCTCACCTGGAAAGAGCTAGGTTTAATCAAACTCTCCTTTACAAATGGTCCTTCGAGCCGCATAAGAGCTATCAATATGGATCCAGATAAAGAGATGCATCCTACTGTGAGACCTAAACGGCAGATTAGCCGACCCAGCAGATCTGAGGGGTTTGAAGTAAGTTACGCTGGAACTCCTCCTGGAAAGACCTCAGTGGAATCTCCCACCACCCCTAAGCAGAAGACTAGATCCTGAACTTCAGCACAGCCAAAGCCAACCTGCTTCATTCACTCCTCCCTCTAGCTATAAGAGAGATATCCCCCATGGTACTCCCTTCCTGTCGAGACCAAGCCATCTGTGGAGTAATATAAGTAGAGATCCCTGCCTTGAACCTATAACTCCCTATTTTCAGGAATCCCCATCAGCCTCGTCTCTGCATGCAGAACTTAGAGCAAACCATGAAGAGAGAAGACAGCTGCTTCAAGCACAGAGGGAGTAGAAAGATGGTTTGAAGGAGCTGAATGAAGCGAGGACTGAAATTAAAGCTCTAATCGAAGCCACACATGCTTTGCAAATGGACATGAATCAGTTAGCTGCACCACAATATTCCCCTCATACCCCATCACAAGGTAGCATGGACAGACCTATGAGCCATTTTCCTACCACCGATCTGAAAGAAGAGTGGCCCGATCCTTCACCATGGCCAGAACCTGAGGACCAAAACAGTAGCTTATATGACCTCAAAGCCATGGATCAAGTTTTGCAACCAATCCAGCGATATTCCCCTTTCAAAGGTGCATCCCTTTCACACTACAAGCCTGCCCAGCGTACCCAGAATACGGCCCAGTTTGAGGCTCCTGCTAAGGAGAGCGAGGTAATGCATCCTACATTTGCACCTTACCCGCCATCCTCTCCCCACCCGGCTCCAACCAAAGTAGACTTCTTTTCTGGAAAGCCCTCAGCTACCAAACATTCATTTACAGCTACAGGTGCCGGTCAAACACAGCAAACCTCCTGCAGAGATGATATTTCCCCTACAGTTGAGGTAGTGTGTAGAGGACCTAAACCTACCATACCAAAGTTTATTCATTCAGACCCCTGCGAGTTTGCAAGACTTCGTATTGCACTCGAAAACTTGCTGCCCTCTAATGCTACAGAGCTGTTCAAATATCAAATTCTTGTGGACCATTTGAAACTAGATGAAGCTAAGCTTATTGCTGACGCTTATCTTAACTCACCCAACCCTTACACAGACACCATGACTGCTCTTCATGATAAATTTGGACAACCACATCAGCTTGCCCTAAAAAGATAGAAAGTGTTCTTGAAGGTCCTGAAATAAGGCAAGGTGATCCAATAGCCTTCCAGATGTTCTCCCTCCAGGTGCAGTCCCTAGTAGGCCTGTTGCAAACCTTAGGCCTGGAAGGACAAGTAGAACTTAACTGTGGGTCACATGTAGCTCGACTCTTAGGCAAGCTACCTCCAGAGCAACGGGCTGACTTTCGACGGCACCAGTTCAAACAGCCCGGGAAATCTTACACCCTACATAACCTCTCTGACTGGATACATTATGAATCATGGTGTCACAGCTTTGACAGCCAGACCACAGGAAAGGGTGGTAGAGAGAGAAACAGCTCAAAGTATGAAGGGCGAACTGGTAAACAGACAGTTACAGTGCCTCCATAACATTAAAGGATCTGCAAGAATTGGTTTGCTGACATCTAAGGAAAGTGCAACAAAGGGAGCAAGCAAAGGCAAAGCTTTCTGCGCTTAT